ACTGCAAACGCGAATATTATATGTTATGTAAGCCATTTTTTATATTTATATATATATATACATATAAAGATTTTATTATAATTTATAAATAAGTTTACACGGAAATTGCTAAATATAATAAATTGTCATTATGTCATTATTACTATTTATATCACTATTTCAGTAAATTTTTCTCTTATGCATTTATCGGAGGCTACTTTTATCATTATTAACAATTTATCAGTTATATGATAAATTCTTATCACACTACAAAGTAATCCCATTCGATGACTACAATCGTCAGCTTTAAGTAATGAAACTATCTTGATGTCTATCTTGACTATCTTGAGTGGAAACTTCAATGGAGATGGCGTGATGTAATTGAAATTTTGGATCGAGCTTGGTTCGGATAACCGAGCAAAGTAAAAAGAGTGTTCTCGCTATACAGAGAAAGAGCCTGGTGTGCGCCACCGATCCAAGAGTGGACGAGGGTGGCGACGATTCTAGCCGCGGTGGGCTGGCGAGGTTGGCGGCGTAGGAGGATTTGGAGCTCTGCCACGTCGGGAGCACCCTCCTGCTCGAGAGCTCTACTGCGATCACCGATACCACACTACAGTACCTCCGCGGTTGGTACTCGTTAGGGTTTGGAGGATGCCAGAGAGAAGCGCGCGGTCCTCTCGAGGAGGAAACAGGTGGAACGACCGAGGGGAGCGTAAATATTGATATTCTCTCTTGCAGCGTGTAACTAGTTTAGCATCTTTGTTGAATCTAACAGCGCTCGCAAATTAATATTATTTCGGCATCGGTCGTGCTTCGCTATTAATAATATTATTCGATACTTACGAGAGATCGTGTCTGAAATTTTTAATATCTGAAGAATATAGAATTGTTTACTAGACTTTTTTCATGAATATATGTATCTTGTTAGAAGTAAACATAAAAAAAAACACCAATAATGGCGATGTTAGTCAATGTCATTGACTATAAGATCTCTACATTCTCGTAGCGATAAAAGTTAAACTTATGTTTCCGTTATCGTTTATTCCATGATTATTAATGAGTCTATATTCGTTGGAATGTAAATGCAGTAGATTGTGTGGGAGGCCTTCACTGTCTGACCTCGAAGCAGAAACTGTTTCTCATATCATTTATTTTAACGTTTTAAATAAGAAGATGCCCTTACGACTTGTCGTTATATATCAAGTATAATTTTCATTCAGAAAATTTTGTATAATCATGATGTAATCATACAATTTAATCAGTAAAAATATGATACTTCACATTATAAAGAAAATATATATTGAAATTATTTGAAAATTTGAAATATCCAAAGTAAAATATTGAATCATCATTGATATACTCTTCGCATTATTACTTTAAAACTTTTGTGTCACATGATAAAAATAGTAGCGATTAAATGTTTTGATTTTTGTCTACTTAAGCAAATTCTACAATATATGGGATCATATGTTGTATTTATACGTTTACAAGATGTCGAGAATATTGATAAGATGATTAGAAGATGCAACTAGCAGTAGTAAAATTTCAGTAATAGAGAATCGTTATCGCGAAAGAGTCCGAGTGTAGGCAGCCGTCGGTCACGAGTACAACGCGTCGAATGTTTCGTGCAAAGTGATCGATAACGCTGGTTCTCTCATGCTGCAAAAACCTTTGCCGGCTACATTTGCGGATTATTAATACGTGCTACTAGTGAATCGCGATCAACGGATGAGCGAGTATAGCCAATTTCAGTTTATCGACATTGTTTGCACTTTGTTACTGTTACTCGCGCATCTCTACTTCTATTCTTTCTACTTGTCTACAGTTTATCGTTTTGTTTCTGCTTGTCGCATGTAGTACGAATATTTTTTTAATTGACAATAAATCTTGTGTTTATTGGACATTTCACATTAATTGCAAAAGTTAAAATATTTGGAGACATCGTTTAATTGATAAATAGGTGATAAATGCATATGATAACCGCGAAAGGGTAATGCTATACTCAATCATTAATTATTAAGACAAAATCGCGTTTGATCCGAGAGAATAATATCAGAATATAGAGTATGTAAGTTTTTGTTATTTATAAATGTACAGCCTAGTTTTTATTATCCATGTGATTTTAATTTTATATGATTACTTCATAGATTTGTGTTGCTTCTTAGAAATATATTGATGTAAATTATAATTATTTATTTGTTGGAATTAGCTCATATTATTATAGTAGAGAATTATAAGAGAATTACTAACGATTAAATGTGTGCTTATTACATTAGTCTCATCGATCAACAGCTATCGATCGGAAAAAAAAATAACTGAGTAAGACGATCTATGTTAGCACTGCGCAAAATATGCATTATACTTATTAAAACGCGAAAAACATTTTTATCATCGCTTCGAAAGCACAAGGAATAGTATCATTGTGATCATGGAAAAAGCTTGCGCGCATAGTGATGAGACATACGCCATATAAGGTGGCTGCATGTATCCGCTCATTTACATGCAATCACGAAGATGCATCCAGACGGGAGAGAGAGAGAGAGAGAGAGAGAGAGAGAGAGAGAGAGAACTATGCTTGTATTGTGGTGTCCGTTATGTCAAAGGCTAAGCCTATCTTGTTTGTGTGTATTTGATAGTAGGCAGAGGGTTGACGTCAGACACGATCGCGTAATAAAACTTTGTTATTCTCGTCGAACTAGTATAATGAGTATCGCGATGAGGATGACATTCGTCATACAAATAATTTGCCCAATGCAATATTTTTCCGATATTAAAATGGAAGAATTAATTTATATCTTGTAAAAATGTTTTTGTTTCTCTCCCTTGTATAATTACTGTGAAAGATAAATGTATTGTTCTTATGTATATCATAAGATATATAAAAATTATATCGAATGGAATATTAGCAATCAAGACTTCTATTGTGATAATACTAATAAAAATACTTTTGATAAGAATATTTGAAATTTTCACGAGGTATTTAATTCGTTATTTGTAACGAGTAAATAAAGTCAAAATCTCTACGAATTAGTTGCACTTACAAAAGCATTAACGATATAATCTATAATTTATCTACGTTTAGAATAAAATGTTTCATAGACATCGTCTTTTCTAAATCAAAAGGTATCTAGATACAAAATATTAGCTTTACTAAAATTGCAGACAATCTTCTAAACGAGAGAGTGTTTGTGCCAGATATAAAATCTTTTTACTATTTCTTCAAAGAATTTTAAATACGCCCATATTAACTATTTTATTCTCGCACACTCCAAACATTTCTAGCCATAGAAAAGCGCAATCGGAGATAGCGCGCGATATATTCGTGATGCTGCGTAAATACCAAGAAGACGTCAACAACTGGCAGCATCCCATTTTCTACCCCACAGACCCTCTTATATATTATATATATGGTTATATTTAAAGAAGAACTATATATCAATGAAACACGATAATTTACAAATTTCTTTCACCATGTCTCTCAGCATCAACTTTCACGAGAAAAAAATCGCATGCGTGAGACAACTTTCAAACCTTAACCAAATCATTCTCCTCGCACACGCTTCGTTCAAATCTAAATAAGCATGCAAACGGTTGACTTACGCGGCGTATGCAAACGGAGCGCGATGCGTGGCGGGCAGCAGGACGACCGTGGCCGCGAGGAGAACGAGGCTCCCGGATGCGGCGTGAAAGGACCCCATGGTTGTCATCCCCCGGAGTCGCCGCGGCTGTCCACGTTCTATAGAGAAGGAACCACGGCCACCACCCAACCGCTGGGACGACGACGACGGCGAGGACGAGGACGGCGACGAAGGGAACGTCGACGGCTGTCCCGAGGCGTTGCTACCTGGCGCGTTGACCCGGCGTCTCTCTGCGTGTCGTCCGCGTCTCACCCTCCCTCCCTCCCTCCCGCCCGCCCCGCCCTCCTACCCCCGTCTTGCTTCCTCGTCGGGTTTCTCTCCGTGTGCTCTCTGGCCCTTCGCTTTTTCCCGATTTTCTCTTACAATTTTTCTCGCTCGATCTAACAGCTCACACCTCTGCCTCTGCTCTCTCCCGTCACTGTCACTCACGTCCTTTCGTCAACACTGAAGCGACGATGTCGGATCGCGCGGTCGTGATATCGCGGCACTCGGTCTAATCTGAATGATTCTATACCGCGTACACCCCCTTCCTTCGTCTCGCGTGAGAGCGTATATTTGCGCTTCGCCACTTGAGATCACACAAGAGTCTTGACACCGCCTGATGAACGAAGACGTGTAATAAATTCGCAAGATTATTTATTAACTTCTCGCTAGATACTTTTTATTCTTGTCTCTCCCGAGTTCTCGTTTCTTCCCGCTCGGCGTCGAATTTCGTTCGCGATTCCCGTTGCGTTTTCGGGGCGAAAGAGGTACCGGGGGATAAAACACTCGGGCGGGGAATAACGGGTGTCGACGGAGAAGGGAGATACAGCGGCGAGGGTCCTCTCCTGGAGGTTGTGTGCCTCCTTCGTCCTGCAGGGTCCTACAGCGCCGGAGCTTCCTGATCGCCGGCGATGCCCTGCCACGAGCTCCGCTTCCGCTCCAGGATTCTTCCTCTCACAATGGACATTTTTCCCGTTTGCACCTTCCGTCGCTTTTCTCTGCTCACCCGCGCTCTTTCTCTCGCCTCTTCTCACTCTCTCTCGTTCTTCTCTCGCGGGGACACTCGGTCAGCACCCGCGGTACACCGCTACGCGCTCGGGAGTGGCGGCTCTCGCGTCTAGCCCGGCCGTTTCAGCGCGCAGGCGCAATTCCTTCCTTCCTGCCTGCCTGCCACCCTGCCTGCTTGCCTACCTGTCTCTAACCCACCCCTCATCATCCCTTACTCCCACTCTCTTTCTCTTTCTCTTGCGCCTACCTTAACATGTTCGCCTGCTTGCCTCGAGCCGACGACTGCCGTCGTGCCTGCGCTCGCTGTCACCCTGACTGCTTGATTGTTTCATGAACTTAGTAGTTTTCGTCACCCCTACCTCCTACCATCCTTCTCGTCAGATCTCGCTATTACGTAGATTGATGCGCAGCGGAAGAAGATCATGTTTATTTAGCAGTTTTTTTTTCAGAAGATTGTTGAATTAAAATTCATTTATGAAATGTTAATACGTTTGCGTGGGAGATCGTGACATTTCATAAGATGCTTACATAAGATGTATTTTGAAATTTTGTTAAGTTAGGTAACTGATGTATGTAAATGTATACAATATATAACTAAGCTTTCAATTAGATATACTCCTTAATTGAAATAATGGCCATTATGATGTTTCGAGTGTGGTTGTATATTACAAAGATACTATCGAGACTAAGATACTTTGACTACGTGATTGTCTGTTGTCGTCTTGTCTCATAATCGTTTCATGAAGTTGATTTTCATCTCTTTGTCTTTGCGTGAATTTATGCATATTATAAAGCATGGTAAGCTTGCTATTATCTCTTATAAATTTTGGCATTGTGTTTCAAATCATAAAATTGTTCGCGTAACTCAGATACTGCTACTTCATTATTTATAGAATTTATGATTTATTTATTTATTAATTATAATCTTGAAATTTTGATAAGATCACATAATTGTTACACTTTAGCAGACACGTGTGCACGTGTTAAATGGCTACTGTTATATTCCGATTGGAGCAGTATATAAAAAAATTATTCTTTCACTTATCTGTGTGATTGCAAAACTTAATAATCATGTCCTCGCGTACACGTGCACGATAATATATATTATATGTATTCTCTCTCGTGCTCAAACAATCGTTCGGGAGACTAAACCAATCGTCTCTTGTCTTCATCTCTTATCCTGCAATAAACCCACTCGCACCTATCCGCACGAAAGGATTACTGTCGCATCTGCACCGTCTACTTCTCCGGCAATTTAGTTATTTTAATAGTTTTTGTTATACCGGGGTTAATCAACTTGTCGCATCGAATCGGTCGTGCTTCCATCATCGTCGTTTCGTTCGTTTTTTATTCAGTTTTTTTCGTGATCCATTTCTTTTTATTTTATGTATACTCTTCCTCCTTCTATGCACAACGTAGAATTCACCTCAGCGGCGAAAAGCGTATCATTACGTTACTCTCCCGATTGCGTCGGGAAATGTTCAAATGTAAAATGGCGAGAGTACATAACGGCGATAATATAAAAGAATGAAAAGAGTTGCGTCAAAAGATATTCCATTTGTAGAGATGCACGCCCCGCGCTACTTTGGGAAAAATATCCGTCGAGAACGTGTCGAGCGCTTTTGAAGCGCGAGAACGGTGACGCACGTCAAAAGAGCGGACTATGATACTTTCGCATTCGAGGACCCACGCACGCATGTAATGACGAAATGCGCGTACGTGCGTGCGACATTGAGACGCCTGGGGTCCGCTGGAACGAAAATAACGCGGGTCGTAACGCACATCCTTTCCGCCCGCGTAACTTTGGATCAAATTCTCGAGTTACGGGGAGAACTTTGAATACGCAGTACAAATGCGAGTTTGCGCCCTCCATCGAGTCATGCGATGTGTAGATATATAGGGTGTATCATAAACTGCGCATTTGTTATGTGTATTAACGGAGAATGTACGGTTGTTTCAATATTGTTGCAATTCCACAAAGAATTAAGAATGTTTTGGCAATTTTGAATAATAAACTTCGAAAATGCAAATATATCGCAAAATCTGATTTTGACTTGAGAATATTCATATCAAATATTAAAAATTCACAACTAAATGCTTGCGCGAAGAGAAGATCGAATGCTGCAAAATATCTATAGCACAAAGTTTACGATTTTTCTAGGACATTCTGTCTACAGGACGTCGGAGCACCCACGCGAACGACGGGATGATGAGGGTGAATTTTATGTGCTTTAATTTAAGTCTAAGCTTGCCTGAGAGGAATGTTTCACATTGGCATTTTTCATCTCTTTAATGTAATTTGTGTATTCCATCTGTGTTTGTGATTTATGATTATAATTTAATTGTTGATGCGCGAGATATCTATTAATCCAAGGAGATCTTTTATCGCAATCTGTAATTTACATAATCCTGACTACGCGCGCATAAAATATATTTTTATGAATTTATTATTTTATGGATAATGATGTATCTTGGACATTTAGAAAATTATATTTATGAAAGTATAATACTAAGAAGATCGCAAGCTCATTCTACCTGATTTGAATCTTTTATACTTGTGTATTGAAAATATTGCACATTATATTTGATTATACAAAAAATATTATATTGTATATCTAAATATATATTATAATGTACATCTTTTTTGCTTTATGTAATTGTGTCAAATATAAAGTTTATGTGTGTGACATAACTTTTTGTAAAATTTTTATGATATATTATAAAATATTATATGATGCAAGCGTGATAATTCAGTTTGATGCAAAAATATCGGTGCTTTTAACGATACATGCATAAATCCTTTTATATATCGAATGTGAAAAATTTGATTGGATTTTATTTCAGTCCCGCGTCCTTTTACTTCATTTCCATGCTTCAGTTTTCATTCCTCGTTTCGTTTCGTAGAATATTGCTCTTTCGTATTTTTAATATTTAGCTACAATCCGACAGTTTTGACAGTAATTGTACACTTGCGCCAGAATTTTTTAATTTCTTTGCCCGTCTCATCTCTTCTAAATTTGTATATTTCGTTGACGTTAATTCCTGAATTTAAACATCCAGAAAATTATATTTTATCTTATTAGACAAGATGTGCTACACAATGAAGGGGAGAGACCCAAGATAAATGAAATTAATTATTTTAATTACAATATGGCTCTTTAAAATATAATTAAATCTTGATATTATTTATAAATATAATATATTTAATTAATACAAAAGAATAAAAATTCTTAGAATAATAGAAATAATAATTTTAGTTGAACAGCTACAAACAATAGATTGATAATTAGAGATCGCAGCATATTTATACCAATTGCTACAGTTTTCTTTCTCTCTCTCTTTCTCCTTTCTCTCTCTTTTCTATCGCCAGTTAACATAGTTAACTGTTAAGTAGCTAACGGATATTCTGGCCTCCCATGCACGATTGGTCCCAGTGCATCTAGACGTTATCGCCAGACAAACGACGCCTGGTCTCGACAGTAGTGCAGGTAAACGCACGAGCCGGCGCACGAATTCCGGCGCGCTCGTGGACCATCAGCGCGATGATTGTCGCTTACATCCGATGCTGCGAGCATTATCGTCGGGCATTATCTTTAAGAGAGAGCGAGGTATAAAATATATACGTATACGATATATAGCAATGGGGTTTGTGGAGAAGAGATGAGAGCGCGTGCGCGAGAGATCAAAACCAGCGGGCTCTCTGTCGCCTGGGATGACGACGGCCCGTCTATTGATCTTGGCGAACATTGCGCGCCGGAACGAGCCGCGCTCGAAGCCTCTCCTGTATCACTGGCTCACAACTCCGCTTGTTCCAAAGACCGACCGACCGACCGACCGACCGATCTACCGATCGTTCTCTCCCGGATGATCCGGCTAAATATGGAGACAAACGCGATATATCGCGGGGGACCGTCAGCCAAATGCCGGAGCGTCCCACGGGACTCGTATCGCACGCAACGCTGTTCCGCCTGTTTTTAATCAAAAGGCGACACGGCGTAAGTTGAACAATCGCCCGTATATTGTCATATGCTAATTGTGCCAGAATTGTAAACAACAAAAAATTTTTTGAAACGTGGAGAAGAAAGAAATATGACTGATGCATAACACATTAAGAGCTGTTTGTAATTTGATTATACAATACTCAATTAAAAGATAATAATAGAGTGGATACTTATATGTATCGTTACTTTATTAATTTAATGTGTAAATAAATTAAACCGCCGTTTACGCGGAATCTAAAATTTTATAA